CCGGTTCTAGGGATAGGACCCAACCGGGTCGGAACCGGACCGGGGCCATGTCATACCTCGTTGCGTAGGTCTTTTTCTCAGCTTTCAGCCAACGTGACCCCCGACCTGCCCACCCCATCCGCATTCGGTCAGCGGGCCCCAGAGCTCAGCCGGGAGCTGAAAAGGCGGGCGAAGCCCGCTCTCAATGATTTTTAAAGAAATACGTTATTTGTGATTCAAGGCGGGCGAAGCCCGCTTAGAGGGCTTTAGTCAGAGCCCGGTTCTGGTTTTGGTTCTAGGGATAGGACCCAACCGGGTCAGAACCGGACCGGGGCAATGTCATACCTCGTTGCGTAGGTCTTTTTCTCAGCTTTCAGCCAACGTGACCCCCGACCTGCCCGCCCCATCCGCATTCGGTCAGCGGGCCCCAGAGCTCAGCCGGGTCCCTCCATCACTGCGTCTCTCCCTCAGGCCCTCTCATAGGCGCGAGCCCACATTACAGAGGGCCCAAACATCGATTGGCCGACCCGCCCCGGGTTCCCAGACGGGCAACGGGTGGCCCCCCTCCAAAATTTCTTCAGAAATTTTCTAGTTTTATCTATTCATTTGTATTTTTTTTGCTTAATTTAATTCTAACTTGATACTTTTTGCCCTTTAAGCTGCTGGTAACCTTAATTTCCTGAGGGAGTCTTCCCAAGGGATCAATAAAGTACTGTCTAAGTCTCTAAGTCTAAGTCTAAGTCTAAAACGGTGCTGGAAACTAAACTGAAGGCAACACACATGCAGGCATCACTGTGTGTGTGTTAGCATCAACCAGCAGGTTTTCCTCTTCTGGTCTCAGTTCTCTGTTTCAGAATCAGAATCAGAAATGCTTTAATAATCCCAGAGGGAATTGATCTGCGTGGCTCCTCTCCAGGTACTCCAGCTTCCTCTGACCATCCAAATGCTAGTACGGTGACTTTGTAACAGTTCACATGGCTGTAGGAGGCAGTGTGTCAAACCTCAAGGCTTGATGGTGTAACCGTTCTGATGCTCCATTACATCAGCAGGACCGGCTGCTGTGTGTAAAACTCATTCATTGATTCATCTCATAACTGGAGTTCAGCTGTGACGCAACTCAGCTGGTTACATAAGACGGTGGGGGTGGGGGTGACTTTCCACTGGGAGAAATAAACGAGCGGCTAATGGGTGAGGTGTTTGATGCGAACTGCAACTTTGTATTCTGGGCTGTGGCCTCCTGCCACACTGAAAGGAGACGGGTTCTTACTTCCAACCCCCCCCCTCCCACCTCTGCCACAATCTGAGTCTGGATTATACGCCACAGGAAATAATCCTCACTTCCAGGGAGACGTCTCGTGTGAAGTTGAGTGGAAACGCCGGGTTCCTCTGAACAGCAGCCTGGGCTCAGCTGAACATGGAGGATATCCTGAGTAAGAGTGTTCCCCGCCCAAACAATCAGCCCAGCGCACAAAGCCCTGTGCTAAAGCCCGGCCTGTGCTCAGAGGCGGGGGGGCAGCAGCAAGACGATTGAATCACAGCAGAGGGGGTTAAGAGGCGTCCCACCTGGCCACATGTCACTGGCAATCAGAGGCTCCAACTAATAGAATTCATCAAACTTAAAAAAAATGTGAACAGAGCTTATAGAGGCATTGGAGGGGGAAAAGGTTTTGATCCATCTTCTAATAACAAAGTTCCATTTTTTTAGTGGTTCAAATCTCACAACTCTAGATGTGATCTCTAGAGCACAAAACGCATTTCAGGAGCAATTAAGTTCTTACAGCACACTCTTTTGCCGTATAAAATGTAGGATGCATGTTTTGGTTAAAAGGGTAAGACCTACTCTGCATCTGTTTTAAAACGTCCCGTCAGATTATTTTTTGGAACAACTCTAGTCCATGAAATAGAGATGTATTGACTGAGATTTAACGGAATTCAAAGCATTTCCCTCTGTGTTCCTCTGGTTTAGGGAGTTCCTTTCTTAAAATTGAGTTATAACACAAATACTACACCTGTAAATAACACATCTAATAACAAAGTTTAAGGTAGACCAGATCAGAGTTCTACTTGGAGAAATGATGATGGGACAGTTCTGTATGTATTTCTGCTGGGAGCCCCAGGTCCACACATTTTCCTACACCTGCTTATTCCAAGCCTGGGTCGAACGGCTGGGGCCTATAGCAGTTGTCATGACCCTGATCAATCTATCACCGGCCAATCTGGAGTCTCCAAGTCATCTAACATGTGCGTTTTTATAACAGTATGCACGGGAAGAACAGAAAGAACCAGACACCCTCCCACAGTGGGCCAACATAAAGAGCTCGTGGAGGCTGATGAATGTGAATTTAAGGCTAACCTCCCACCCGTCTGATCAGTGGAGGGGAAAATAGACGTGAATATTACTGTGAAATGTGTCCTCTCACCTGTCCCCCCGCGGGTCCTCAGGGTTCCAGCCTGGGAGGAGGTGCTCACGCCCCCGAAGACGGCCATGCCCTGGCCCACGGGGCCGTGGAAGTTGTTGTAGTTGGGGATGGCCGTGACTCCGAAGCCGGGGCAGTGCTGCGGCGTGGGGTCGGCGCCATAGCGGTAGCCGGCCCCCTGGGAGATGCTGTTGTCCCGCTCGTCGGTCAGTTTGGTTGCCTCCTTGTCCTTGCATTGCACACAGCCCATTATCTATAATCTGACAGAGGGAAGCAGAGGAAAGGGCGGCTTAGAAAACCCCAGCCCGGATGCTGGTTTTTATCAGAACCCAGAACCACTGCGAGGACACACGAGATGCAATCTGCATTCCCTGCCAAAGCCGGTCAGTTTTAATCATGAATATAAAGCATCTCCATCACAAAACATTCTATCACCCACTCTTCCTGATTCCCCCCACGGCTGGAAACAATTTGAAAACTCATTTAAGCGATCAGATTACGTGGAAATCAGTCGGCTTCCCTCCAAAGGCGGCGAACCAGGCCCAGTTGGGTCCAGGCTCACCACTGGCAGCTCTCACCGAACAGAAAGGTCTTTCATCTCGTTACTCTCCGATTCCTTCATTCTTTACGCTGATTTCCCCGCTCGTTAGCTATTCCTCCCCCTCTTTTTCGCAGAAAGAGCTGTCACCTGCTCGCGGCTCTGGGGTGAATATTCCCCTCAGGCTGTCTCTTTGCCTCCCCCAGACGGCTGCTCAGAACTCATCTCCAGGCAATTTAATAAGGGCCCGACACCAGCACTGCAACAGGCATCCATTTCTGGGTCATGGAAGTAAGTCTTATTCCGTCAAATGAGAACCTGAAAAGGCCACCGTAACTGTATCATCCTTATATTAGAAAAAAGGCGCCTCCTCCAGAGTTTCACCCACTTCCACATGAAATCAATAAACTCGCAGCAAAAAAAAACTCCCGCAGAGCAACACACGGATGTAGAGCAGTTTGTGGGCTTTCACATACAGTCGAATAACACTGGAAGGACTATATTATCTCTCATTGAATATTCTGAAAGAGGATAAAAGGAATTACTCAGCATGAAATAAGGTGCTTCTATTTAGAGACACATACTTAAATAATGCAATACATAGAATAGAAACAGAACAAAAACATAAATAGGTAAAATAACAATAAATATTTATTTAGTTTACTTTATTCATCGCCTTATTGGGAGAAACTGTCAGTTGTCTCAAGTGCTGAGAGACGTGTTGAAATTGATGCTGCTGACTCATTTTTAAACTGTCTCGACAATGTCGACCTTTGCAGAACCAGAGAACCGAAGTCAGAATTCACAAGTCACATGCTGGGAGGGCTGTGTGCACCACCCACAAGTCCTCAAAATGTCAAAGTTCTCAGCACCACCCGCAGTGGCCTCCATTGTGCCCCCCCTCTATCCGCTCTGTAAAGTTATAAACATGAGCTGTTCAGACTCCAGTCACTTTAAACAAATCACAACACCAAGTCTGAGTTGAAATGGATTGTCAGTGGCGAGAGAAGACATAAAAAAACAATGCCTCTTGTTTATTGCCATTTGTTTATTTTAGTTATTTGACAACATACTTTCTTAATTTCTACATATTTTAATTTCTATCCCAGTTTGTTTCCATGTTTCCACCTATAGGTGAAGGCGGGAACTGCGCCTATAAAAGGCTGAGATGGGTCTGATACAAGCTGAGACCGTGATTTGGCACTGCAAACTTGGACTGATCTTTTGTTATACTCAAGTTTAATTTGTTACAATAAACCATCAAAAGACACACAATAACCATCTCCTGGACTTAATTTCACGCGTCAGACCACAGTATTGGACACCCAAGGTGGGAAAGGTTGTTGAGGAAAACAAACAAAGAAATGGTAAAATTGGAAACAAAAATTGAAACAACAACTTTACCACTACACCCAGCCATCAGTTGTTGTTATCGGTGTTACTATATCCAGGCTAAACGCTCCTCTGTAAACACGCCGGGAGGTTTAGACAATCACTATTCACTGATGAATCGTTCAAAAGCAGCAGAGAGAGAGAGGGAGATTAGTGGAAAAGCAGTCTGCTGTCCTACAGAAGTGATACGGCATTATTTTTAAAAAGAGCATTATTGTGTTACCATATGATACAGCATCTGAAGCTAATGCCCTGAGCTGCTTTCTAATGAACGGCTTCCTCTCATTGTTCAGCTTCAAGAAAACAAGTAGGATTTTTTTTTTTTTTCAGAAATGGAAAAATTCAATACATTCCAGCACAATTTTCATCATCACTGAAGTTTTCTGATAAATAACCATGTCTTATAACCATCTTCCTGTATTAACATGTTCTAAATGAACTGTAGTGGGTATAACTGGGACCTCTGGGAATGAAAAAGAAACTGTGTCTGAGCCGGACGCTAGCTGGAGTTCTGATTCCACCAGATGGTGTCAGCCAGTTTGGTTTCAGTTGAATGAAATGGGGTTTACGATCGTACTGCTGTTTTTTTTCTTATTTTTTTATCTTTCAAACGGTCTTTGTCTCTAAGACTGTTTTTGATTGTTTTCTGTGTCTAGCATCTTCTGCCTAGTTGAGATTATGAGAGGCAAGTGTTGGAGGTAGGACGTGGAGCGATGGCGATCCGCATCAGAATTTCCCAGCTTTCCGTTTTGCCCTAACTCCAGCTGTCCACTGAGATTAAAAAACAAACAAAAAACAACCTGCAGCAGAGATACTGTGATGGAAACATCATGCTGACACCATCTCAGAGCTGGCATCTATCTATCTATCTATCTATCTATCTATCTATCTATCTATCTATC